CGCGAACTGTACTGAGGGGGTAACACAGAATCGGGTGTTACAATGATAGAGCAAAGTTTCTGAATACAAACATTGGTGAAGGTCCATCAAATACTTTCCAGAAAAACAATATAATTTAAACTCACAAACATAGATGGCACCACTGATAAAAGGAGACACAAGAACAGACCTACAAATTTAACAAAGTCCTTAAGACAAGAAATACAAGATTCTAACAAAAATCAAAATTTAAAAAAAAAAATCACAGGCCAGCAGTCACCCTGTGCATTCTGGAGAGCCGTCCTACCAAAAACTGGAAAGATTCACTTGAAGCCGTCCAATGTTTCAACATTATAGAAAATAGTTTTATTAAAAGTATCTCATTCCCTCATGATAAAGCCAAGGTGTCTGTGAGGATCTCGTAGGAACCAACTATTTTGCTTCCTACAGTTGAAGAGTGGATGTAAGTCTGGCACATCTATCTTTTCCCAGTGCTGAGAAAGAAGTAAGAGCCATTGGCTGACTGTTTTGCTTTTCTGACCTTCAGGTTGAACCCCAATTTCTGTCTCTGGGTTCTTATTAATTGTGCTACAGATTTTAACTGATACCTGTGGGAAATCCCAACCTACTGCTATCAGAGTTTATTTCGCATGCTACTGCACAGTCCTGTGAAACACTCAGATCCACTGTTCAATTCTGGAGCATGTTTGATTTTCACTCCTTTGGTTTTCTCAATTGAATCAAACTTAGTGGGATATCGTTTATGTGATTATTATTATGAATTCTGTGCACTGACCTATTCTGCAGTTCTCTTCCTCTGGTTTCGTACATTATCTCAAACCAGTGTCAGATTCGCCCTTACTGCAGTTTGCTAAGTGGGTAATTATGCAGAATAGTCTCTTTTATCCTTTTATATTCCTGTAAACATTACCATCCACATGACATTTTAAAAAGGATGTTGGGTATGTTCAATTTAAAGTATAAGTTTATTAATCCAAAGAAAATTCCCAAAGTTTTTTAACAGGAAACCTGAAAGCCACACTCCATGTGAAAAACTTGAATTTTCAATGGAACTATGAAGAAATAGTAAATACACTAATACAATATGACTTCTGTACTTACCACAAATTTACACCAAACAAAAATATTTGAAGAATATGAATGGAGGGAAAAAGCCAAGAACAAAAGCACAAAAAGATAGTCAAGTTTTCTTCAAAAGACCTAAGGAAATACAGTTAGGAAGACAGTGAACTTGACCAATGCTACCTACGGTTGAGCTGTACAGAAATCAAATAAGCAAAGACTTCAACAAAACTCACAAAGATAATTCAAAGTGACCCCAAAACTGTTATATTTCTGACCTTCCAAATACTGGTCTCTCTTCCAAACAGCCCAATGCTCTGGTGCACTCTCTGGAAAGGGAGGGCATCATAAAGGTGGGCTATGGCTCTGTAGCACCTCCCTCTCCTGTCTTTGTGATTTCAGGCAAACCCAGCTCCACTGATGCACACACACACACAACAATGAACATGAACAACTTAAAGTGTGCTTCCTGCCACATGGATTAGGGCACAAGATGTGGAATCTGCCTATCCACCAATGCAACACTATGCACACCTGGAAAACCTCTGCTACTCAGAAACTCCTTTTATCCCTGCAATTTAATTCCTCTGATCAAGTATTACTGAAGGATAAGGCCCATCACCTCCCTTCTACCAATTTCTAAGCTATTTGTAAAATTTATCACACAAAACTGAATGTGGAAAACAACATTCAGAACTCTTAGAAAGCAGACCTTCAGTTTTCTAATCTGTCTTCCCACTGCACATTAAAAGTAATGCCTGTGTGTGGACACTTAACAGTGCTATTACAAACATCACAGTTCCCAAGACTAAGGTTGCAGAGTCTCCCCATCCCTAGGGAATCCACCTTCAGGGAGGCTCAGAGGTCAATGCCCACTGTCCAAATCACCACATGGCCCAAGAGAACCACGGTGTGGCTCACGATTCATTCTAGTCAGAGACTAGATATGAATATGGATAGTACAGCCGAACTGCTAATCCTGGTCTGGGGTCACTATAGCATGGCTTGTGGTCTCCCTCACTTTTCCCTAGATCAGAACAAGAGGAGAATTCTAGAAAGAACATGCATGCTTACTCCCACTGGTATTCCTGATTGCTACCTTCCCAGAGTCCCTCATTAGCTAGGGCCACCCGGCAAGGCCTCAGGACAGTAGCAGCTCCGCTACTGGATGAACAGAGAGCAAATGACTGACACCATAGGCCTTCCCAGCTCCACTCTTCTACCCCAGAAGACAAGGCTCCAGCCTTGGAAATCTGACACTTCCTGCTCCTGTTCCAAGGCACAGAGCCCTTTTATGAACATTCCATTACAACTCAATGTCAGTGCAGTAACCCATTGCTTCAGAGCTGGGAGGTCCTGTGGCCAAACATAGGTCATAGGCAAACACTAACTGTTGTTAAAGCAAAAAGAAGCCATGGATGAAAAAAATGAAGGGTCTATGGGAGGACCTGAAGGCAAGAAAAACATGGTGGAAATGATGTAATTATAATCCCCCAAAATTATGATAAAAAGTTGAAACAGGCTGTATACTCAGGTGCTCCAGAGACCAGGGATTTGTATTAGAGCATGCCACGTACTACTTATGCCATTTCTCTCAGACTGTAAACCTGGAAAACACAGTCCTGTTAGGCAAGGTAACACCATGTTACCAGGTTCTTTTGTTTTGCTTTAACTAGAGTAACTACTGGAATTTTGTTTCACAAGAACTTCAGTTCTGTATCCAGACTCTTATTACCCAGTCTGTGGACCAGAGAAATGGCCAGTCAGGACATCTATAGATTACCTCACTACTCATTGCTAATGTCAACTACTGTCAAAGCAGGAAAGCGTTCACCTTCCTTCCTGCCATCCCTTTCTGTGTTCTGACTACAACTGCCTTAAAGATGGTCAGTAAGCCCAATTCTTACACAGTTTCCTCAGCATTTGTAATTGTAAGTTCCCAACGAAAACCAGGGAAGTTGGAGGACGCTCATTAACTGGTCTGCTTTTATTTCTCACTGACCAGTCCAGGGCCAGCCTGGCAGGAGTCTGGACTGTCTTTCCAGCACTGGGCAGCAGAGGTAGGATTAGGTGTTCAAAGCAATTCAGGTGAGGCAAACCTGAGTTACGGGAGGCATTGAACTAAACCAGTGGTTCTCAACCTTCCTAATGCCGTGACACTTTAATTCAGTTCTTCATGTTGTGGTAAACCTCCCCCCCCCATTATAAAATTATAGTCACTGCTACTTTATAATTATAATTTTGCTATAAATCATAATATAAACATCTGTGTTTTCTGCGGTCTTGGGCCACCCCTGTGATAGGCCTGTTTGACTCCCAAAGAAACCTCAGCCCTACAGGCTGAAAACTGATGCATAACGAAATGAATAAACAGCAGTTAAGAAAAACAAAGTGAAATTCTTAATGACCAAGAAACATAGGAAAATGGAAACAAATCGAGATTAGACTAGTAATTCGTTTAAAGAAAATGAAATCTTAAAAAAGGTATCAATAATTGACTTTTTAAAATTATAAAAATTGGAAGAACACTAGGGTATGCTGACTTTGAAACAGCAGGCACTTCCCTGATAGAGAGAAGGCCTCTCTCTACCATTAATAAGGCAATGTAGGACTTTGTCCCTTGTAAAACGTTAGCTGCTGAGTGCTGTAAGCTGACAGAGTTACAGTCAATGAATGGCCTGTATCTCAAACCTCTCAGCTGACTTAACTGTATCAACCAGGATTGCACATATCTGCATAGGGGAGTTCCCTAATTGGAAACTTAGTACTCAGTAGTTCAAGCTACTCTCCCTAAATTGAACAAACACCAATTCTGTCTCCACTCACACTGAAGGATTAGTACATGCATGGGAATTGCAGAGAAAGTCACCCTACCCCATCAGGTCTTTCTTAATAGTGGACTCCCTGCAACGTCAGCCATGGGGATAAGAGGACCGTGCCCTGCGGGGCTACAGACAGGGTTCAAGTCCACCTCAATCAACACAGGAGACCTTGACTCAAAACCACTTTTCAAAAAGGCTGGAGATGCAGCTGTTCTAGAATTAATGCACCTTTATGGCACAGCAGGACTTAAAGTTAGTTGTGAACCCGAAATGGCCCCTTCCTTCAGCTGCATGTTAGAGGGCTGGTATTTGATGGGGAGCTGGGCATTTTTGGCAGGTTATAGATCAGGGTTGTCTCTTCTGTTATGGGAATGTATCTTAACCTCTGGATAATCCTGGAGAACACACATTTACGTTTTAGCATACTAATCTCTAACAAGCATGGGTAGCATACTATTTATTTGGGGGTTATTTGGGAGGCGGCCTTCCCTTGGCTAAGTTCTACTTTGTGTCACTTAATGTCTTCTAAGAACTGGCAAACCCTTATACTCTCAAGTCTACGACCATCAATTCTACTCTTCTACATCACAGGTTAGCAGTGGAGTGTTACTCTACACAGGAGACACTTTACAAGTTCCACAAAGTTATTCCAGAAGGAATAAGGAATAATTTTGTGCACCTAAATGTTCAATGTTAAAAGTGCAGAACTTCTGGAAGATACCAGAGAGATCAGAGCTCTCCGAGTGTGGCAAATCTGCCTTCCACAGAGACAATACACGCACTACAGGAGCCGGCATTTCACAGTGACGTCAAGGATGTTTCTAAGCACAGTCCCGCTCCCAATAACCCGCGCAAACTCAGCCCGCGGAGTGAAGTTATTCAGAGGCTTCCGCCCAACCAGAGAGGTTACAACTGCCACGGAGGGCATGCAGGACCAGGCGGGACCACGTTTAACTCTGCAGCTGGCCGCTGGCCCCCACCGAGCCGTGGTAGGACCCACCACAGCGGCTCCCATGGCTCCGGAGGCCGCTCAGGTCGCTCTTCTGCGGACAGCGACCCCTGGCTCACCATGGCTGACCGCCCTAGCCTGTCTGGGGACGGCAGCCCCTCACTCACCATGGTGCGCTGCCGGGCTTGCCGGCACTCTGCCCACAGCTTTCCCCCGGCGGAGACCCCAGCACAGCACCCAAGACAACTTCCGCCTTCCTCAGCACACCGGACAACTTCCGCTTTCCTCAGCAGTGGCTCTGAGCCAGAAGCCCGGTGCCCGGAAGAACCCTCACATATGACTGGCAGATCTGTTGGAGACCATGATTGGCTAATGAGGCCTGAGTGACAGGAATACTTGTCCTGGGGCCTGGAGAATTGAAGGGACCCAGCACAACAGTTCCCGATCCTGGCTCTCACACTAAGCCCAAACCTATCCCAGATTGGATGCAGATTTCAGCCATTTACAACAGCAAGTTTCAGGTTATTATAAACCAATCAATTCAGTTTTAAAAGTGGACAAATTCAGACAATATTACATAGAAGGAACACAGGGTATCTCAAGAACATTATAAACAAAGTACACAGTGCCTTTGTAACCAAAAACCACAGCCCCATGTATGAAAAGGGTTGGATAATCAGGATCTGAAGCAACACCTTCCCAAAGGTCTGGTTCCATATCATGAACAGCTCTCCCAAGCAAATTCCAGATTTTAGAGAAGATCTGTTTTTGCTCTATATATCAGGGCCTTAGAGAAAACTCCCAAGGCCGGGGCAGGTTGCCAAACACAGTTAGGTCTAACTTATCAAGTATCTTCTAAAAGTTTTGCACTTTGCATTGGACATTTAAGAATAAGATTCATTCGCAGTTAATTTTGTGGAGGTTGTAAATGTCGTCTTATGAACTGGGTAACACTTCATACTAAGCTTTAATGTAGAAGAGAAGAATTATAGATAGGAAGGATTTACCAATGCTTAGGGGTCACACAAAGGAGAATTTAGCTAAGGGGTGGTGCCTCTAAAACACCCTCTTAATAAATAGTATGCTAACAAGGCTTGTTAGAGATTGGTATGCTAGGATGTAAATGTTTATTTACCTTTTAAGTGTCTGTAGTTAAAACAACTAATGGAATATTCATCCACGGAGAGTACAGAGAGACCCTCTGTGTAAAGACCTCTCTAGTAAACTGGAGAATCATAGTTTTAAGAGCAATTTCTTAGTTGTATTGTACTAGATGCTCTACACATTCACTCAATGATGTTTTGTTATGTATTTGCTGGTTCTTTGTATTGTCTACAGAAACCAATGAAAAAATCATGGTAATAGTAGTGATGCCATGCATTATATGAAGACTGTTTTGTGTTTTCTTTAAGTACCTAGGAAAATTATATTATCATATCTTACTATATACAGTTTCTATTTAGCTTTCTTTTATTTAATTGTTGTTGCTCAGTACTAGCTTAAGACAAACAATTGGCACCTTCATATGAACAGCTGTGTCTGCCTACAAAGGACAACCACCACTAGATTTGCTGACTGTTGATATTCCATCATAGATGGGGGTGTCCTCTCCTTCTGAGTAGACAGTCTCTTTCCCAGACAACTGTGAGCAACTCAATTCTAATGACATGTGACCCTTTCATTTAATGGAGAAGCTAGAGTTCATAGTCTGGGAAAGACTTGGGAGGACGTGGGTTCCACATATGCACCTATAAGAAAACCATCTTTAAAAGAGGGAATTTACCTTGAGTGCTATCGTGCTTACCTCTTTTGTACACTGAGAAATGTAATGTAATGCTAGAGTACATCGGCAGTGGAAGAATAGGGAGAAGCTGAGTTCCACATATGTATGAAAGCCATTATACATTAGTAGAGAAATCCCTAGTGGTTGAGATATTCCTTTCTGGCTGCTTTCGGGTATCTGTCTTAGTTAGAGTTTCAATTGCTGTGGAGAGACACCACAATTATGGTGACTCTTATAAAGGAAGACATTTCATTGGGGCTGGCTTACAGTTTCAGGGGGGTTGGTCCATTATCATCATGGTGGGAAGCATGGTGCTGTGCAGACAGACGTGCTGGAGAAAGAACTGAGATTTCTACATACAGATCAGCAGGCAGCAGGAAGTGACTGTGACACACTTCCTGCAACAAGGGCACATCTACTCCAACAAGGGCACATCTATTCCAACGAGGACATGCCTCCTAATAGTACCACTCCCTATGGGAGTATGGGGCCATTTACAGCAAAGCCTCCAAACTTCTGTATCTCCTCAAACATGTTCAATAAATAAGTTTAGTAAACTCGTTGGCTCCCCAGGTTAGACTTTGGAGAAGTTGTGCTTTGCATTGTCATTGGCACTTATGGGGATGGGAAAGACATTGCTTTGTCCTCTACCACCAGGGAGAAAACTCTCCCAAAAGATCATAAATAGATTTGATAAGATTCCTAAGTCTCATGGTATTAGAAAAAGGATCCAGGACATGAAAGAATGTGTTAGAGAAATGTAAATATGGAAATGGACTTAGTAAAGAACCTTAGATATATAAAGATGATAATGACTGGATGGCTCCAGAGTGAAAGAGACTGGAATGTTCTAGAAAGTTATGAAGATCTGTGTAATCATTTAAGGTATGTAAAGGATAAGAGCTAGAGATCATATTTTGTATTAAAGTTGTCAAGGTCTGATGTGGGATTCCCATCTGTATACCATGAATGTATTTTATTACCATTGGTTAATAATAAGAGGCTTTGGCCTATAACATGACAGAATACAGCTTGGTGAGAAAACTAAACTAAATGCAGGGAGAAAGAAGGCAGAGTTGGGCAGATGTACCAAAGGAGAAAAATGCTAGCCGACCACTGAGGAAATAAGACATATAGAAAATGCGGCAATGTCACGGCCTTGTGGTGATATACAGATTAATAGAAATGGGTTAATTTAAGACACAAGAGTTAGCTAGGAACATGCTTGAGCCATTGGCCAGACAGTGTTGTAATTAATATAGTTTTTGTGTGATTATTTGGGCCTGGGTGGCCAGGAAACATAAGCACAGTCTCCTTTTACAAAAGTGGCACTCATGTCAGGCATGGATCCACACAGGACCTAAAAGAACTTTAAAAAAAAAAAAGAGGGCTTCTGGACCCACAAAAAAATGGGAGCCAAATGGAGCATTGAGCAGAGGTGCAGCTCCTTTAAGAGAAGGCTCCCTGATTTGGCATTAGCAGCAAAAACTATGTGGTTCCTTTAAAAAAAAAAAAAGACAATAGCCTCCTGGTTCATGCTGGTAGCACAAATGGTTCTGGCTCTTTCTGGAGGACCTGTTACAGAGCACTTGAATGGGGTTTGTGGGTAGCATGCTGCAGGTTACTTGGTGGTGGCATGGGCCAACTGCTTCTCAGAGTTGTGGTGATAAACATGGCTGCCAGAGATGTCAGTAAACAGACTTCTGCCATGTTGGAAAGCTAAGCAAGGTGGAATCAACAATCAAAGCGACTGCTCTGGTCCTAGCCCTGCCTGCTTAACAGTTTACAATAGTAATCAAGAAAGGATTACAGATACACAATAAAGACAGATTCAGACAAAAATAAAAAATAAATGAATGGGCCATATTGTATTTAAAAATTGTATGTAGGTGTAAGTAAAAAAGAAAATAAGAATAGAGAGTTATAGAAAAATAGTTTTAAAAAATAAAACAAAGTCTTTAAAAAGACAGAAAAAGTAATATGAAAGAGTACAGACAGTCATAGATTAAAGGAGTAAAGATAATAAAATAAATATTAAAAAGTAATAGAGTAAAAAAATGAGCCATGTAAAGATGGAACATACACACAGAGAGACTCTGGATTATGTATATTATTGTGTTTTCTTTGAATTTTTTGACTGTGAATGAGTTAACTACAGAGAGATATTTCATTGGACGGCTGCTAAACTACACCAGCATATATATTTTAAAGGTATCTTGATGTCAAAATTTGAGTCTGAGGATGTTACTTTGGAAAAGAGGTTCTACTTTTGTTTCTACAGAATATGAGAACCTGTGGATTTTTTTCCAGGTTAATATGGTTTGATGGAATAAGAGCTCCCCCAAAAGGTCTCTGTGAACCCTAAAAATATTTTGCTCAACAAACATCAGCAAGCAGTTTGGAGAAAACTATGCCAAAATTCCAAAAGTGACTGTTTATAAATGTTTGTTTTCACTTAAAAGGGGTTGAGTATAAGTAATTAATGGTCACAGTCACTTTCTAAAAAAGAAATGATAAGGGGGATATAATATAGAAATGAATACTTCACACTGAAATGAACTTTGGTTTATTTATGCAAATTTATAAGGTCAATTTTGTTATATGCATATTTCTACTCTTTTTTTCTTTTTGTGACATTTAGATATTCTCTGTTTTTTTTCCGAAGTTTATTAAATTATAAAAGTTTCCATTTCCGCCCCTCCTCCCAACACCCTCCCACTCCCCCCACTCCCTCTCCTCCTCCCTCTCCATCCCTAAGAGCAGTTAGGGTTTCCTGCCCTGTGGGAAGTTCAAGTTCCTTCCCCCTCCCTCCAGGTCCAGGAAGGTGAGTATCCAGACAGACTGGATCCCAAAAATCCAGTATATGCAGAGGAAACAAGTCCCAGTGTCATTGTCAATGGCTTTTCAGAAAGACTCCAGGCCAGCCACATTCAGAGAATCCGGCCATATTCAGAGAATCTGGTTGGATCACGTGCTCAATTAATGTCCCAGTCCAACTGGCCTTAGTGAACTCTCATTAGACCAGGCCCCTTGTATCAGTGGGTGATCGCACCCCTCATAGTCCTGATTTCCTTTTTCATGTTCTTCCTCCTTCTGCTCCTCATTTGGACCTTGGGGGGCTCAGTCCGATGCTCCAATGTGGGTCTCCGTCTGTATCGCCATCCATCGTCGGATGAAGGTTCCCTCTGGTCTTGCCTTCTTTGCTCACGTTCTCTTTCCTTCTGCTTCTCGTTTGGACCTAGGGAGTTAAGTCCACTGTTCCAATGTGGGTCTCTGTCTCTATCTCCATCCATCACCAGATGAAGGTTCTATGGTGATAAGCAAAATATTCATTAGTATGGTTATGGGCCAAGGCCGGTTCAGGCACCCTCTCCTCTGTCCAGAGAACAATCTGGGGATCTCTCCTTGGACCTGGGATCCCATTGATAATCAAGTCTCTTGTAGACCCTAAAATGACTCCCTTAGTTGAGATATATTCTTCCCTTATCCCATATCCATCC